CCATCATATTCAAGAATCGCCTTTTCATACACAGTATCTCTTCTCAATGTATGAATGATGCCATTGAGGAATTCAAAATGTTGACTCTGGAACGCATTAGACATGTTGCACGGGGACAGCTTTCTATAAGATCGCTGTTGAAACGATTTTTTTTAAATTTCCCTCTGAATATATATGCCTTTGGGGGTTTTATATTGTATGTACCCCGTCTGGTTTTACTTTCTTGCTCTTAACATTCCGGAGAAAGTTGATGTTACTGTCAGCCTGATCACCATTCCCTAAGACGCAGAAATATGTGTGGGATGGAGCTGTGGTCGAGTAGATGGAGCAGAGGATTTCGCAAAGGTGAAGGTTGGTTTCACTTATTCTCCATCATCCGTGGGACTTAGCCTGTCAAAACAAGTCGTTGGATTCTCAAAATAGATGCATTCTTGTGTGTAGGGCGCGGGATACTTCGTGTAAATCCCAAAAAAGTCTGACTATTCGTGCTTTCATTTTTATGGAGGTATTGTTTTGGATCGGTTGATTTTTTGGGGTTGTGTGTACGTTTGCAGGGAGAGTTGGTGGGTTGCAGGGAGAGTGGGTGGGTATTTGGTTACTTGATTGACAGGGAGGTCAAGCCTGGAGGTGACTCATCAGCACGCACCGTGTTGGAGTAACTGGGCAGTACATGGAGGAATTCAGTACGTGGTTGACTGTGTGGTAACACCTGTGTAAACTTTAATCACGTCCACAGTACCCAATATAATACAGTCTCGAAAACCCAAACCCTTCCCGTAGGTCTGGAATCTCCTACGTTTAATTCTCAAGTTTCATTTGCAAATAAACCCAAAGTAGAAGAGTGGATGTGCCTTACCTTTAGAACATTGAGAAGCTCAGTGGTGCAGATGTAGCCGTTCCCATCCAGGTCGTACATACTGAAGGCCCATTTCAACTTCTCCACCGTGGTACCGCGCAGCAGGGCGCTCATCCCGCACATAAACTCCCAGAAGTCCACACACCTGTGAATAAAAGATAAACGAAGTTTGTGACAAAATAGTCTTGCAGTTTCTAGGAGACTTGAACGTATATAACTCCTTTCGAAGCGCATGGGCTACTAGCGACTCGAAAACCCTCTTCGTAGCATAACGTCTTTTCCATTTGATTTCGGTATTCTACGACAATGGTATCGTTTTCAAATATTTTTTTGAAACTTACGGTATATATTTGCTGTTTTGTACGATTTACAGTATGGTTCAAAGCTTTTTTTTGTGGAAACGACCGAAAATTCATGCGCACGCAGATGTCATCCATATAATCAAATCAACATGGCCTAACAGTAGAAATACAAGCACTTTCAGTTCGTGCGCCTAGCATGTTTACTATGGCATTCGATTGGGTCTTTGGTGACTCTTAAACTTTAGTCTGAATTTTTCCATTCCCATCGACTGCGCGCATTTTATGTATCCCCAGAGAGTGCAGGCAATTACGATAACCATAGTGAAAAGCTTTAAGACGAGTAAAAACACTTTCATGTTACTAATTGTGTCAAGCATTGTATCACAAGGGAGTCTGGTCAGTACATTACTGTAGTCGGAAAGGCTTTGGAAACTAATAAGAATCTAATCTCCTTGCTTTATCACTGCTCAGGTACCTGATATGGGACGTTCTCCGTGATAAGTTCGACCACCAACAGTCGATAAGAAAGCTACAGCTGTGTAGGTAAATTGTTCTTCATATGTGTCATTTATGGTGATGGCTGTTGGTAGAGAATCTCACCCATATTTATCTAAAAAGACAATTTTTTTGTCATACACATGTGCAAGTTACCACGTAAGCAGCTACGGGGCAGGGCTGTATATAATGTATTTGTACGTGTATACACAAGAATAAACCATTACTCAATATAATTGCCCAAACATCCATTGTTTTCTTCACAAGCTATACAGCTGTCACAACTGTTTACTCGTCACCAATTAATGCCTCGTCTACTGCCCTGAAGCTAAACTAAAAGATTCATAATATAGCAAAATCCCCATATGACCCGCAACCTGGCAAAAAGTATGACAGGCAATCTGTATTGTATGATGCTGATCAACCTTCAGCACGCTAAGGTAGCTTTTTGGTACCACATTTGTACTGGTTATGGAGTTAGGCAGCAGGGAGAAGGTTAAGGAGGATCGAGGAGAAGGAGGAGGACAGAGTCTCACGCGTCTCCTTACCCGCTGGCATCTTTGTCGAATGTGCGGAAGATCTGCCTGGCTAGCGCCTCCTTCCGCCGCTGGTTCCCCGCCGAGAAGAAGCCGCTGTAGTGCGCCACGAACTCGTCCTCCCGCAGAAAACCGTCCGGACAATCCTTCTCAAACTCTATCATCCATTTCTTCACCTCTGCTTCCGTGAAATTCGTCACTCTGAAAACGTTTGCCACTTTGAGTAAGTCACTATCAGGACTCGGCAATCTGGAATGACCAGATTCTGCTCTTCAACAAAAGTGCTTCATGGACATGTTGCTTGTGGATGTAGTTGCGTTTCATGTTATATGTTCATGTCATATCAAAATTCAGCTTTATCTGATAAGTGATGCTGTAAAAAATACAAAAATACCCTTACCTTACGAGTCTGACGATTGTTCGTTTAGGGTCTCTACCGAGGAGCTTCTTCTTCCTGCACGAGAAGCCAATCTTACTTACCAAATCCCCCATGGCCGCTTCCTCTGATCCTGAAACGTACGGTAACTCAATTACAAACTCGCCTGTGTGTGAATATGCTTCTAGCAAGAAAGACCGACGGGAGGTTTTCAGCTTCCTTTTATGTGAGGCGCCTCTCTCTGGAGAAGATAGAAGTCTGCCGGCTAATAGGTTGTACAGTGTTGATATATGAGGCATGGAAGCATACAGGACCTTTTTGCGGCTTACACACACATTGGACCAGGTGTATTTGATGTATACAACTCTATTATTCTACTAATGCGACTTACGTACGCAGGTTAGATTAATAGGAAAAGGAGGCACTTTTGGCTTTTTGGCAAGTCAGGCGTTTCTTTATAATGTGTATCTCCGACACGGAGGCTATGGTTACGATCTTACCCTGGAGGTTTGGAGAACAGGATAAAACAGATTTCCGAGACTTTGTATATGCGGGAAGGCCTTGGATTTAGATCCGGATGCAAGGATTTATCTGACATGGCAACTCGCCACGATTCGTGGAAAAGTTTTCTTGCAGAGAAATAATGATACTCACTGGATGCATGCAAGACTGTGAGCCAGGGCAGCTACATATTGGATCAGGTCCTTCAACAAAATCACTTGCTTTTCAAGCAAATCAAATCAAAATAGAATAAGTTAGCTGTGAACGATATAGGGGTAACGTACGTGCAAATAATTCACGATACACATCTATGATTTCTAGTCTGTATGCTATATAGGAGCCAACAATTTGGGTTTGGCGGTTTTCAGCGCTCGATCAGAAAGTGTTTTCTGATTAACTGTTTTACGTTACCTGATATGATTTTGTCATATCATGATCACGCCGTCATAACATAAGGCCAATATATCTTCACCACATAGCGGCTATTGCTTCTACCATGAAAGTCGCTGCATAGAACTCTTTACAAGAAACGACATTCAAAACCATCCATGCCATCTACATGTACATGCAATCAACACAACTATTACAGAGCTGTGGAGAAGAAAATTATACTAATGCTCTGCAATAGCCCCAGGTCGTAACAGAACGTTGGTTATTATGTATCCGGCATCCATTGGTTTGAACGTCGCTAATGTTAGGTGGTGCTCCGTCTAATTGTTCCCAAACTGCTGCTTTACTTCGGTCTGTGCTCGTTGATAAAGACAAACGACGCTGGAAGCGTAATACAAATTGTAGTCAACTGTGTCGAGAAATGATATACAGTCCAACCTGTAGCCAACAACCACTTGAGGGACGATCAAGGAAAAATGGGTATTTCCGTTCTCGTCTGCCACAAGTCGCTGTTAGGTCTTTGGTTTTACCTTCGAGACAAGGTCGTCGCACTTTTCTGTTCTACATTTTTTTTCATATTGAAAGTGCAAATCAAATGTTTATAGCAGCTATACTTATATCCTAGTGGCCTCTGCTTAGCTTTCTAGGACAATCGAAAACCCTCTTCGAACAAAGCCGGCTCTTCTCTTTTCATTTCCTCTCCGAAGTTTCTATGTTGCTAGAAAACTTCAAATGGACACTTCACAGTAGATATTTGCAAACGATCATCAGCAAACTGAGTATTATCTATGTGCCAACTCTGCCAATCAGTTAACGTTGTGAAACTAAGGCTTCTGTAGCATTTTTGGCACTAAAACAAATACCGCGACATGACAAATCCCCTCACACGTTAGGGTTTATATGATTACCATATCTCCTTCACGCAGGAATAGTTTTAAACAAAGCTGTGTGTGAATTATTAGAAAATTCTACACTACATACAGAGAAAGAGTCATAACGCATCGAGACATGCATGCAACTCATCCGTAGCTTTGAAACACGTTATTTCCGAGGGGATTTCTTCAGAATTTCTGCTCCGCTGTCTGTAGTTTTTTTTATAATCCTGCTCTTCTCAAATGCTACTTTGAAGCATACGTAAAAGCACTGCTTTGTTATTTGATATAGCCAAGCCATCCGTTAGTACCATCGGAGTCCATACTTCATGAGATTTGAATCCTACAAGGCTACTTCCTGAGGTTATATCTCACTGCAAATGGCTCAAAGGAAAGCGGTAGGGTTCACCCATAAACCGGTACATATGCAGAGAAAACAGAGGATACAGGACGTACCTTATAAAGCTCCACCGTCTGTATCAGCTACATTTCACATAAATCCCTTCAAATCCAGCCATTAAGCAAAGGTATCCGTTATACAAGTTTCCTTTCCAAGCCAAACTCCCACATTGTTCGGTAAGCAAGTCAAACAAGCATCCTGAGTGCAAGCGATGTCACCAAGCCAGGCGTGGCGCGTAGGTCACCAAATGATCCACATGCAAGCTTCTCCCAGCCGAAAGGATTTTTGTGTTGAAACGATGCTCTATGTGGTGTGTCTATGCCATAGGATCTAACACTAACACGTCCACACCACCGGTGGTCTCTGTGACGCTACCAGAAATGCGACAACTTTCTCAGCTTCTATCACACAATCTAGTTATCTCAACCTAATTAATTTCTTTGGCTCTGCTGTCCTGCCACACTATACGGTTTAATCTCACACCATCTCGGTGGTCGGCTTTCTAGCTGGTGATTTTCTGTCACATTTGACGTTAATTTAGAGGTGTGTGTCTTTGGTCGATACGAGAATTGCCACCCGGAACATCAATGTCTAATCCTATAGATTACCGCCTCTGTCAAGCAAGGTCATGGACAGAAGACACGAGTTTTTACTATGAGCATAAAACCTAGTCATTTAGAAAATTCTCGGAAGTGCAGTGCAAGGGGTGGATCAGGAGGGATCGCGGCAGTGGGGTAAAACAGGCGAATGACCGACAATACACTGTCCTAGGCGAGGTCGAGGACTATGAAAATGTATCCAATTATATATGGACGGATACACATATTGGAATCAGCTATCTAAGCAATGCAGAGATTTTACAAACAAAATATAAATGTATGTTTCTCTCTCGATATCGATTCAATATCACGTAGTGCATTCACATTTTCTTCAATTTTATTCAATTCAATGCTAATTCTGAACTGGGATTCTAAACCGTGCTGCTGCAAACTACTATTAAATCCCAGTATTTAAAAATGCTGTTGCAGTTTACAAAATGTACAAGCTGATTTCTTAGAACCACATGTGCTTAACGTTTTCATATGTCTGACGCTAATGGAAAACTCTAATTAAGTCTGAAAATCTCAATATGATAGCTTCGAAATAAAGTTAGTTAAGTATACTTGCGATGTTCACATTGCACGTACGAGTACGCCTAGGTCTTTTCAGAATGTTGGACCGCCGCGCTCACAAGTTTCCGACCAAAAGAACACAGATTCCAGTGGCTGTAACTGTCAAGGCTAAACAAACATAATTATCAAGGAGAAAAGGTTCCTAGTCGTCTGGGTGGTACATAGCAAGCTAAGCACTGATGCTAGTCATATATCACTTCTCGACAATGATTCCTAAACGCTGTGATACACAAATTGTTCAAACAGCTTCTTTTTCAAAACGTCTCAAGCAAAAGGACAGGATATTGGCATACTGAATTATGTCTACTTACCTAAAGCAGCTGCAACGCAGTAAACTCTACGAGAGCCGAGACTACGATGCCGACTACACTTCTTCTACGTTTGACTCGAAGGAGTTGGCGGTGTGGAACATCACACTACCGTTCCGCTGGACCAAACTAATGTTAAGTTGCAATGGGTAGCGGAAACAGGGAGTGATAACGCTCTCTCGCCCATGAATCTTGTCAGGTGGACGGCTGTTATCATCCGGTTCAGCTGAGCAGCTCTATAATGATGTTTACGGCAGCGGTAAAGAGCGATACCTACTGGTGGGTGACCTTCAGAGGAAAGGAAATAGTCACGGCGAATTCAGAGCGTAGTTAACCTTCACTTCTCGTATTTATCGAGGGGGGGTTGCATCACTGTTACTATGTTATGGAGCTTATGTTACATCAACAAGTTATCCACAAACCTTACAGCATTTCGAAATAAAAATTGGATCTATTGACAGACGAACATGAAAACACCGTTTCACATGTTATCGTGTCACAAAATAGAATTCAAATGTAGGCGTAATGGGCCTTCAGAATGCTGTAACCATCCGTTACAGGACATGTATACTCTAACGCTAAAAGGAGACGAAAATGTAGCCTAACATCTCATTGATTTGTTTGTGAAATATCTTGAAAGCGACCATTCTTGTCGTCCTATCGCTGGAGGCGACGGACGACGTTGCCGGTACGCCGTTGTTCAACATAGTAGTATTCACTTTATAGAGAATAACTTTCAGCACCAAGGACTGCGTTGCTTTTCGCTAGACAGCCTGTCGTGGAAATTTCTTTCGCCTGGCACGGGAACCTTCTTCAGAATGCGCGATTATGCGCCGCTACGCTGCAATTGGCTTGTTATTGCCACTTTCTTGCTCCATTTGACAGCTGGCGTCTGAAAATGGCGTAGTGGTAATGGAGCGACTCCTTGCGGTCAAAATTATTATTACCATGGGGATTTTGAACGATCTGGCCAGCAAATGGCAAGTAAAATACCATCAATAGTATTGCCGTACCAACCATTGTTGGCAGATGTTGTTGTGACACCGCCTGCAATTAAATCTAAACCATCTGGATTGAAATCTTGTGGTTCTTGTGTCTGCTGTTACCACACTGGGTGTACAGAAAATAAGACAAAATAGCCCTGTTTTTTTAGTACAATGTATTAGTGAAACATGAAAATTGATAACAAAAAATACAAAAATACAACATCACCTTCTGTCCATCGTTAGTAAACCATTGTCATTACAGACAAAGACATTACTAACTTTTGAAACTACTAATTAACATAAATAATGTCATCTTCACAAACACAGATTTTTGGAACTATAAAAGATGTGCTCTTAAAACAAAAACTTCTGTGGTTCAGGTAAGTAATTGCACATTCAATTGGATACAATACTAGTCTACATTATGATAACATATTGAAAAATATAATATATTGGCAATTACTTTTTTTAACCTACACATCTATATATGTGTACTTTACATAAAGTTAATGAAATTATGGTAATCAATGCAATTAGAAGAAGAAGCATGCATCTGAACCAGAACAAAGATATTTCTTATGAATTGCTGCTGTCTACAAGCAATCATCTATTTGTATACTAGTACCTCATTGTCTACATGTAACAAACTAAACATGCAAATACATTAGCTATATAATTATACATATATGGACTGTGTAAAGTGTATGTACATGAATACATATTAACAGATGGTTGTGTTGTTTTTGAACTATCCTATTCCCTGTCAACATCTCTTTGAGAAGACCACTAGTAGATCAGGTGCCCCTTTTTGTTTCACATCTTTTTGTTGCACCACTTGCACTGTTGTCCAAATGTTTGTACACAATAATGCATGAGAATGATTCCATGTCTTGTTCCTCAAATCGTCCAATGAGGTCAGAAGAAGGGGATAGTATACTACATGTGTAGTAGTTAACAGTTGGGATTGCTGGTTTTCTAGAAACATACAACTGTATGTAGTGAAACTTGTGGACATGCAATCACACAAGTTACTTTTATCTGATTGTCATCCCTACTCTTTTGGAGTCCCTTTTCAGACTATTTATTCGAGACCTGTAAATGCAAGTCCTCTTGTACAGTTGCCTCTGTAGCCTGGGGTTGCTTGTTGTTACCCCCATCTTGCAAGTGGGTAGTCATGTGTTGTTGTAAGTGTCTCTTTTGACCTGTTCTGAAACCACATTCCCCACACATGAAAGGCCTGTTGCCATTATGTGTCATCCTATGGCCCACCAGTGCTGTCTTATAAGCCGTCCTGTAGCCACACACATCACATTCGTATGGTTTCTCCCCCGTGTGTTTCCTCATGTGAATAACCAGAGCACTGTTAGAGGGGGCCTTGTACCCACACTCCTGACAAGTAGAGTTCTTTCTTCTGCGTTTGGGCTTTGCGATGGCACCATCAGGCTCAGCAGTACTATTTCTTTCAGACAAATTCTGCCAGATGGCCATGGCTTCTTCAGATGTCTTCACCATGCAAGTGGGCTGCTGGGTTCCGAGCAGTGACACTGGCAGTGAGTCATTCAATGAAGACCCTTCAGTTCCCAATGCCTCTAGAAGAGTGGGGTATGTTGTTGTCATCTCTGTGTTTGGTGGCTGAAACATTGGGTCAGACACAGAGGTAGAAACGCCAGGCAATGTCTGCAAGTAGCCTGGCAATATCTGCACATAGCCTGGTCTTGCAGAGTCCATGAATTCTTGGCCATACCTGGCCAAAGACTCTACTGGCCGTACTGCACCTGTGGTACTAGCATCTTTCTGTCCAGTGTCATGAGATGACTGCTCTGTGAGGTTGCTTGATGTGTCCATCATCACTTCTGGCCCATCTACCTCTACCACAGATGGTTCTCGTTCATGTGGACTATCATCAGTCGTGATAGTCGGTCCTTGACCTACTCCGGTATAGCCGTTTGTCTCCACATTCGTGGAAACCTCAGTTCTGGGCTCTTCCTCTGGTTGGGCAGGATTCAGACTGGAATCTGGCTGAGCTGCTCCCTCTTCAACTTCTGGAATTTCCTGTGCTGTCACATCTCTTTCCCTGGGTGATCCCACTCCTCTACTGTTCCTCTCCACACAGTTGTCCATCCTGATGCTGTTATCTTGTGGTGACAGCACCCTTTGGATACCTGAGCTAGAGAGTGCATCAGGAGTGTTACATGCAGGCGGTCCCTTGCTATGTGTGCCTCTCTGAACAGGGCTCGGCTGAGGTCTGGAATGTTGGTGTGTACGTACTGCTGTGCCTGTTGGAGTTCCTATCCTTGGAGCCTCTTCTTGACGTCTATTTTCAATGCCTTTGGCAAGTTCATCAGGTTCGTCGTCTTCCACAACTATCACATCACCCGTGTCGTCTTTAGCTAGTGGTGTTTCTCGTACAGGTACACTTGTACTTGTCTGCTTACCGAAACTACTCTCCGCCCGACCGCTACCCCTTCTCTCCCTTTCCACACATGCTGTACTTCTCTTTGGTGCTGGTTCTGCTGTAGTGTTGCCTGATGTCTGTCTTGTCACGGCTGTTGTTGTGCCACTCTGTTCTCTCGGTACATTGACACACGCGGCCCGCCTACCCCGGCTGTACTCCTCAATCATGACGTCACACAGCAGACTGATGAGGTCCTCGCGGCTGCTGGAGTCGGTGAGGGGATGGATGTTCCTCCTGCCCAGCTCCAGGATCAGCTCCTCCACGTACAGCCTGGGCAGCACCGCCAGGGTCACCTCACGGGACAGACCACACACCATCATCCTATAGCCTGCCTGGAACAACACCGCATCATACCATGGCCAATTTAATTGGTTGGTTCTCAGATTTTTTTAGAAAAAGTATGAAGTGACAAGGCGAAAAAAAATAAAAACAGGCCTAGGCATCCTATCATATCCCCAAAAGCTACGTGCGATAGGAGCTATGAAGTCAACACAAAAGGCCGGGTTTATATATAATATTCACACAAGGAATTTTGAACTTTTAATCAAACCACTGCATTGGCAGATGGAAAAACTGTAACATTTGCAAAGCTTTGTTTATTCTTACTCAAACATATTTATATCTATGGTGACCATGCAGCCCCTCTTGAACTCATTTCTATATGGCACTTGCAATATTATGTAACCCAACACCAGTAGTTACTATGGTAAGAGACATCTGGGTCAGGTCACTGACCGTATTTGTCTCTTTAAGTCTCTTTAGTTTATTAATAATGACAAATTGCATACACATGTATGTATGTATGTATGTATGTATGTATGGTAACATTACATAAAAGCTAGGAGGTAAGAGGGGCTGGGCTCAACAATTATGCTTTACTTTGAATTCCCAATCATTTGTATTAAAAAAAAACTACACATGTTGTATAATCGATAATGCTATAAAATTTTATGAAAGCTAGTATGAAAACCTCATAAAGAATTGATACAAAAGACAGATTTCCTTCCAATAATTACAAGAAATCGAAATTACTTGCATACGCCTTACGAGAAAGGCCGAGCAGGCTCCCTTATATATCCTTCTATATGATCCAATTCACTCCCAACATCTGCTTGAGGACTAATTCAAAACAAGGAAGTTTATCATTTTTTTGGGGGGGTCTTTTTTCACCATTCTAATCATTTGTCAAACGCAGCTTGTTTTCTTTTCTCTGGCACGTCGTTTTCCTTTCTCTAGCATTGAGCTGTTCCAAGAAATAGGGGGGGGGGGCTTTAAGCGTGAAACCCCAGACCTGTTTTTAATTAATCATTCAGATAATTTTGCTCAAGCCCTAGCCCATGCCCAGATTTTCAAGCTCAAACCCTGACTTGCAATCCAGATTCTCGAAACCTACCCACTATTCAATCCAACCTCCCACATTCATTTTCTTCGGAACAGTTCATATAGACGCTTTGTTGTCAAAATTGCTATTATTAAAGGGCTAACGTTATGTACCGTTAGAATAGTCTTGAATATACCTTGATAGAACGCTAACTGCAAATATTTGCGAGCAACTATTCTTTCTGAACAATGCACGAATGTGTCAGATATGCGCCTTACCTCTCCAGATATATCAAATATCACGGAAGAAGGAGAAAATGAAGGAAATTCCGCGGGAGCTGTCAAAGGGCAACAAAAGAGAACATGGCTGCTTAGGCGACACAGGTCAAAGGTTAAGCGAGAACCTCCTGATGGTCCGAATAGTGTTCATGGACTAAATTTTTCGTCAGCGTATAAAAACCGAACATAGGCACACATTCACCTTCACATGACCCAGCATAACAAACTACTGCTTTATTTGTTCTTTAGTCTTTAAACTCAAACACATTCATTCTATTATATGGTGACAATGCAGGTCTGCATGCACATGATGTAACCCAACACTAGTTACTATGGGTGAGTGACAGTGGGTGAGTGACATCTGGTCCTGGCCATTGACCTTATAGTGTTTGGAACGGAAGAAGAAGAAACTGAGCAAAACTTCAATATGTTTTCCTTCGGTAAATTAATTAATTGATCATAGAAAGCCAGATATAAATCGTTGTGTTTATTATTTTCAATAACACAAGTAGCGTCAGTAGGAGAATGAATATTTTACAGTTAACAATATTTGATGCAGCCGACAGATGATGACTGATTCATTATGTTTTGTCATTAATTTTGGACGGTCAGTTTCTTTAAATACATGAGAGCCACATCAAACAGCAAACATTTGGATGAGTTGCTAATTTGTGAGGACTTGTGAATTTGTGAAGGATTGTTGTAAGTTAGATATGTGGTAAAGTATAATTTTCGTGATTGCTCGCTATTTGATTTATACGTATTCGCCCAAGTTTTTTTAATGTTATTCGCACCTCAAACTAAATCGCTCCCAGAAAACATGTCTGACACTCAGCATATCAAATGTTGTCGCTGTATTTTCCTTCAATCCTTCAAATTCAGTTTTTCTTGGAATTTAACCTGTTGAAATCAATGTTCTGCACAAAGAGCCACAGCATGATCTGATTGTAAACAGCTAGCTCTCATATCAAACTCATTCTGTTGGACGTATTTTAGTCAGCAAATTAAAAACGTTTTCCTGTAGAGTGGAGATGCTCCTACTTTCCACAAAATCAGAACAAACGCCCTTCATGATGTCGTGTCTACGTCATAGCTGTCAGTATTCAATTTTACCCCTCCCCCATGAGCGAGCTTGTGATAAACAGGCTAATCTAGTTAACAATAGACATAATCGTTTATTCATTACACATCATAATTAAGTAGCATTAAATGGGTGGCAGTAAGACAGTGGTTTCTTTGCGTTGTCTACTAGCAAGGGCATTACACATCTCTGTATAATGTCCTTGCTACTAGTAACAGCACCTGCCCTGTCTACGCGCTTAGCCCAGGTGCAGGTGCCATGCCATCATCATAAAATGTATTGCACAACAATATTGAACAAGGTGCCGAGTATACATATATGACATCTATTGATATATAATAAGCATACTAGGATACTAAACTATCTTACTAGGTTGTATGGGATGAGAATATCTGATTTTACTGTCAATATTAATGGTCTAATTTCTAGCAGTTAGGCATAGTTCGCCACATGTCAATGTGTACGTTCTTAAAATGGATTGCAAGGCAGCATGCCTCTAGCCTTTTGAGGTACTTTTGTACTGGCAAATCTTGCAGTAAACATCAGACAACGTCATTCGAGCTCTACTCATTGTCTCATGTTATTTCCGCTTACAGTCTTACGGTCTTACCACTACGTTTCAATCAACATTTCTGTCAAAATATCGCTATTATCGTATAATTTAGTATTATAATGATACTTCACAGGGCAGGAAAATGGTATAAACAATCAAAAACAGCGCTGTGGATTGCTTTATTTATCAATATGTACCTCACGGTGCCATGTGTATTATTATTCCCACGGAATGTGTTTAATTATTTCCCCCACTAAGCACGCCAGGACACCCGCTGTAACAGATGATACAAACGGATTGCAAAGTTAGGCTACATGTAGTAATGTACATCACGTCATGTTGTGAACTAGTTAGTCAGAACACCAACATTCTACCTATCCCTGTGACATGATTCTACCATACCAAACCATACAGCATTTCGATCTAGAGAATAAAAACACTCAACAGTGTACACATTTTATCTTTTTATTATGTACTATAGAGAGATCTTTTTGCCGTTTATACAGAGAAAAGAATAAACAAATGTCATAAACTATTCACTCAGCATTGAAATGAAATGATTCAATGTATGGAAATCTTATTTTTCATTCATTCATTAATTCATTCATTAATTCATTCATTCATCTACTTATTCTTTATTTGTTGTTTTGTTTCTCTAGCAATTCTATGACGCCGCAATTAAAACAATTATGAGATTCAAATTTCTCTGAATGTCCGATAACATCTATTCCAGACAACTGCTGTTTTACATCGTATTAAAGAGCAATGTTCCACCATTCCCTTTCAGCACTTCAATTGTCTATAGACTAGGAGTTATTTCCTAACTCATAGTCTTATGTTAACTACAGAATGACATTGATTTGACAATGGTTTGAAGACCGTTGAATCAGGCACAGCTGACGACACGTGCTATGTTTTTGTCTCTTACCGCCGTGGCGACAACAACAGATCCAAACGCCTGAGGCAATGACGTCTGATGACGACAGCTGTGGAAATTAACAAGGTCCCCTTGGCGTAGTTTTGAAGGAAGAAATGGTTTCATCTCCCTTGATGTCGAACTCCTTTGTAACATGAGTATTAGCGTTCGAAAATAACCTGTTCATATAGAATACAACACGGGGTATTCCGTATCGCCCGAGGTATCGGCCCGACCGCGGGACGGATCGCCCGACGGCCGCAGGCCGGAGGGCGATCCGACTCGCGGGAGGGCCGGGACCGAGGGCGATGCGGAATACCCCGTGTTGTATTTTATTTATATCATACCCACCCAAGAAAACGCGCCTTTCAATGCAATATGAGCCAAAAGTTGGTGCCCCTAAACCCTCAAATGCAACAACATCAGTTCCAACGTCCGGATTCTGTATTCGAATTTTCGAAAGGGGCACACGCGGTTAGGGCGAAACGCGTTCGAATCGTTCGGTTCCGGACGGGGCCGTACCGTAAAGTACGGCCCGGACTGGAACCCGTTATCGAACGTTATCGCGGCCCGGCAGTTATGCCAGCTCAGGGGCATTCACACTGTCCACACTATTGCCGACTGGTCCTCCTACCAGAACACTTTCATACGACCTGATTAATGTATGAGCGTTTAAGTTGATTTTTTGTCATCTATATGTAAATGACTATTGTCCATGTTATTTAATATCTGCGCCTGGATTGATGGAAAGAATAAATGAATCAAACTTGTCCCAAAGTATTTTGCTGGTCCCTTTTTCCTTGTAGATATGTACTCAACGCAATGGTTTTGGAGTATATTTTGGTGACTTTTTTCTCTCTCTACCTGTCTTTGCCAAGCATTGTTAGTAGCTGCATGTTCATTCCCTTCAGCATTCCCTTCATTCCCTTCAGAGTGCATACATTAACACTTCCTGTTATTCATCAATTGCACTATGAGTATGAAGGCTATAAAAAACTGTAATCAACGATCTGCACTACTGCAATATTTACCATAGGATTCTACAGTTGCGGCAGTTCTTACCATAGCTTCGTACGGCTGAACCGTTAAAAACAACAAAAAACAGCACCAAAATAAGGGTATTTTAAGACACACGTGCACACGCACACATACACAAACACATGCACACACACACACAAACACACACACACACACACACACACACACACACACACACACACACCTCCTTGGTAGGCATCGACAAAAAAGTTTGATTATGGGCCTCCCAGCGGCTTGCTATTGTACTGCATCGGAAATTCCGGTTTTGATATCTGACATAAACTATGTCTTATTTGAATACTTGAGCGTTTTCCCTTTCATTATCTCTCTTAACTTCAATCACTGGTCCCTCAGGTGTTTCAAAATTTGAATCCCTGACGTAACCAGTGACGTTCTATACCCTAAAGGGCGTGACGTTACATATTAATGTCCTACCTGAGGGGGCCACCAACCACCAAGTAGTCTAGAAACTAAATGAATGGAAATCATCAAAAAGAAAGAAAGAGAGTGAGTGAGTGAGTGAGTGAGTGAGTGAGTGAGTGAGTGAGTGAGTGAGTGAGTGAGTGAGTGAGTGACATGGTGATTAACACGCAATATTTCTTCGTTTTCCCGGGCCCCAGGAGAATATTTACATCGTAAGTCGATCATGTTAATGAGAACGATAGGTCTTCTTTTTGAACACTGGGTCCCCCAGGAAATTCAAATAGCTGTACATTACACTCGCTGACGTAAATGTTAATGAGAAAAATATCTACTTAAAGGAAAAGATTCTGCTCTTGTTCAAACATCAGGAACCGAAGTTTACACACGACTTGAGCTGTGACGACCTTCACCAAACTTTCTTAAGATGCAGCCTTGCGCCAGCTTGTCGTTCGCAGTAGCCATGTTGGTGTGTCTAGTGCCCTTCTCTGTCGCCGGGGCGCGTCCGTTACCACGAAAGCTGCAAAGAGCACTGGATACATCAGGTGAGGTGCCGTTCTTTGTATCTAAACAGGGCCCCGCTCACATACCGATTTTTTAAGATATTCCAACATGTAATCACAAGACGTGGTGACACACTCAAGTTTTTTTCAACTTATATTAATGCCGTCAGCAACACAGGGGGCAACACAATACTCATTTTCACCTGAGTGAAGTGAGGAAAGTTGTGTAAAGTGCCTTTCCACAAGATCGATGGCATGTCAGGAAACGAACCCGGGACCTCTTGGCTCCGAGTCTAGCACTCCTACGCCACGTACACGACCCCACATAATACCGATTGTTGCACGATCGCAAGTTGAGCACTTTCTTGGACCAGCCGTGCATGCGTCATACAGAATTCAGCTGTCTTATTACGGAAAATGTTGTCGTTGTCAGTGGTTGGTTTTGTCAAAGCCTGCTTGAAAAGTCCAGGACATAAAAAACGTCCTACGACGACTTGAATGTTCAGCGAAGGCGTTACGTTGTTGTGATATCGATGCAGACTAAACGTTTTTTTTTTCAGTAGAATAACCTTAGACCTCCTGTCCCTACAGGCACATTGGGCAGCAAGCTTCCGTCTGGGTCTAGTGGCTGCTGCTCCCTCAGCCTATTCCCAGGTTATGTTTGCCCTTTTGAGGTCCTCTTGAAAGGTTCTTCAGTAGAATAACATTGGGGATACATATAGACTGTCTTTAAATATATTATTGCTTTTCTATTTTACAGACTCAGACTGTGGTGGGGAGAGAAGTGGTGAAGTCGGCACCATTCTGTCCCCCAACTACCCCCAGAATTACCCGGCCGGAAAGCTGTGTGTCTGGCGCATCACTACCGGCATAGGCCGGACAATCAAGATCACATTCAACAAGTTCCACACCATGGGGTGTAAGGACTACGTAGGCGTCTATGAGACAAAGGGAGAAAGTGTGCTACCTCTTGGAGGAGGTAAGTTTTGGTTTCGTTTTTTTCTTACCTATATATTTATTTTCCTAAGCGAATAATTAATTTCTCATTATAGATATATGTATAGATATATTCATAGGTATGTAGTTTTCAATATTTATGAATCAATTTGTGTGAAGTTCCGATTAAGATTGTATCACCAATTTCTTTTGGCAGGTAAACTTTGCAACTCAAAGAAGCCCTTCAACATTCAATCGAAAACAAACGTAGTTTTCGTGGTCTTTAAAAGCAACAACAAAGGGCCAGGCCAAGGATTCAACGCAACATACTCAGGTATTTCAAGGCTATGTTAAGAACTTTAACAGATGTTGAATATATTATATATGATTTATGATTATTAACTGTTTGTAACTTTGTATGTCTTATCTGTTAAGCAAAATGCAACACGTAGTTGGCACACCACTACACTAGCACAATAACATACAGTAGATATTGCCATACAGTGTTAACGTGCTGACATTAAAGTTCTATGTTTAAAGTTTTAAATTTTGTTGCCTCACTGGGTCATTCTATTGAAGAAGACCATAGTGACTGGTCCAAACACTCTAGGTGAGATAGAACAATCTCTTATGTTAATTTCAAAAGTGTTAATTTCAAACAAGTACTAGTAACTATGTATACAAATGAATTTTATGATAGCATTACAGTTGCTAATTTCGTCCCTACTATTACGTCACTAGCCAGTGGCTGTGGAGTCCCTGTCATTGGTCCGAATCCATGGTCAAGGTTGGCAGCTGGATCCGGACGCATTGTGGGCGGAAATGACGCAAGACCCGGAAGTTGGCCCTGGCAGGTGTCAATCCGAAGTTGGATCGACGGGAAATACCACTTTTGTGGGGGGACGCTAGTGGACAAGCAGTGGGTTGTGACCGCTGCGCATTGTGTGGACGGGTGAGCATTTAATTTATTGTCTGTTACATTCTCCTGCTGTGAATACAAGTTTGTATTAAGCTTTGTAAACACAAAAATAGTGGATGTTAAGAAAAGTATTGACCTGGCAACATTTTAAGCTTGCCAGTCAACTGAAGAAGTCAATCCATGCATGTTGCATGTACAGTGTAGACTTTGTGGTCAATATTGCATGATACAAATATATCATGAACGTTTACTTCATCTTAAGCTGCCAGCTATCTACCAGCTTTTTATTCTCGCTTTGTTATTATTTTGTCGTCTGCCAAAAATATCCCCTTTACCTGTGAACGCTTTAAGTTACCACTGCGGAACCACGTTGACGTCACTGATTGTTCATCTGCCATGTGTTTAATCTCTCCCCAGCGGCAGTAAGCCGTATTTGACCTTTGGGGAGTTCGACCGTTACCTTAACGACGGCACCGAAAAGACGATCTTTACGGAGGAGATCTTCATCCATCCGGGCTACAATAACAGCCTCCTAACGAACGACATCGCCCTGTTGAAGATGACGTCACCGGTGACGTACACAGCCTACGTCCACCCCGTCTGTTTGCCGGATGCCTCTATGGAGGCAGATGTGGGGGCCGTGTGCACAATTACTGGATGGGGCCGTTTTCTAGAAGGTACACCGTCATTACCCCCCCCCCACACACACACACAATTAGGTCATGTTTTAAGAAGCCGTTTACACACAAAAAATGCTACGTCCTTCTCTCTAAATATAAGACTTGCAAACTTTGGTCAACGCCACTTCGCGAATTAAGGTATGAAGTCATTGGAGCTCTTGTTTAAACTAAACTAAACTAAACTAAACTAAACTAAACTAAACTAAACTAAACTAAACTAAACTAAACTAAACTAAACTAAACTAAACTAAACTAAACTAAACTAAACTAAACTAAACACTCTTGCTGGACGCTACAGGTAGCACAACTGCAAGGCGCCTGCAGCAGGCAAACGTCCCGATCGTAAACAGCACGGCCTGCTCGGAGATGTACGCCCAGCTGGCCGAGCGGGGGGAGGGACTCCACACGATCCACCCGCAGTCCATGGTGTGTGCAGGGTATCCGGAGGGAGGGGTCGACTCCTGTCAGGTAAGTCATCATTTTAAAACTACTTCAAAATAAAACCACAGTTTTAGCACAATTGTTGTGTGGTAATTACCTTCACCAACAAGGTCATGTTTTCGAGACCATGTAGATGTGTGACTGTGAATAGCTCAGAGACGTTGTCGATGGATCTAGATGACTTGTTACGTGGGTAGTTCTTGAAGGGACCTCGAAATGATTAAATTTTTGGCCCCTTAGCGGCTTGTTACGATACTGCTTTGGTAAGACTGGCAAAGCCCTGTTATTTTTTTAAACGATATAGTCAACTGTTATGATTTATGCAAAATGAAGACCGTATTTGCATGCCATCAATGGGAAACATCATTCGTAAAGGTTATCATCATTTAGTGAAGGTATGAGATCGTGGAACTCTAGTTCATGATAATATTATCTTCTCTCTCCAGGGTGACAGTGGCGGTCCTCTCGTCTGTCAGTCATCCACGGGCGCTCATTGGCTGCAGGGGGTTGTGAGCTGGGGGCACGGCTGCGCACGCGCCGACGCCCCAGGCGTGTACGCCAGAGTTCCCTCATTAGCTGACTGGATACGGCAAACCATGCAAACAAACTCATGAACAGTGCAACGTCCTGGAGTCATCATTGGCAACATTGACGTCAACGAATGACGAGGGGACCCTCAAGTCGAGGTCGCTTCCACCTTTTCGGAAGGTAAAACTACAATTAAAGACCAACAAAATCAAGCAGGCTGTAACAAAACCAACTACTGACAACGACACCCTTAACTTTTCCGGGAAAAGCTGAATTCTGTACGACACTACTCTCCAAGCAGAGGTTGTGGGGAAATGATCGTTAGCTTTTTATACATGGCCCGTTTTTTTTTTGTCGCAACCCGGATTGATTGCGGTTTGATTAGGTAACAATTGCGTATTAATAACTTTATCCGATGCGGCTTTCTGCAGATCCTTGGGTCGCGCATGGACCCTCTCTGACCAATTGGATACTGCCTGGCCAATTTGATACTCTATTTTTGCGGCCCTATAGCTAGGATCTGCTTGGAGATTATACGACGCACGCTTGGCTGGTCCAAGAATGGTAATCTCCAAGTAGATCCTAGGGTCAGGGTAGCGACAAAAAACGGGCCATATATATAAAAAGCTAATGATTATTCCCCCACAACCTCTGCTTGGAGAGTACAAGAATATGCTCAACCTGCCATCGTATAACAATATCGGGCGACTACCCATTGGTGGCAATCAATCCGTGTGACACTTTAACTGCCTTATTGTAGTATTTTTTATAACGGTTTATAGTGTATATACAACAGCTACACACATACAACTCCACTTTGTTGATACTTCTTTGTATGATCTGGACTAAGAAAAAGAGTTGTAAAATTAGAATGCAGTATCTTTGTTGTTTCCATGCAAGAGGACCTTATATTGTACGTAAACAATCATTATTTTGCTCTGATCGAGAATAAAGTTATCTCTATAAAATAACCATCGATTTAATGTCATTAGTATTGATCTCAGATGTCATTGCTACATTGATTATAGCAAATCGGACTATACTCTTTCCCAGAACGATCCGGGTACAGTTTGGGCAGGGGTAGTGTCTTGACTGCTACACCGGAACACGGAGGTTCTACTTTGACCCTAGCTGCACCCGACCGGTTCCTCAAGCCCCGCCCCGCCTTCCTGTAAAGTACTTCCTTGAATATTTCCGCACTTGGCCTTTACTTTCCCCTCTGGAGAATATTTATTTACTTTGAAATAAAGAAGGAACTTCTGACCTTTCAGTGCTTGCCTACAGCAAACATGTTTCTTGGAAAGATAGGGCAACAGACGACGTGACGCATGTATATATATGTACACAGCAGCTTTATTTCTTTACCTTCATAACAAAAGCTCAAGTCTTTTACAATGGAGTACCCTTCCAGTTTTTCTTGAGTAAACAGAGATGACATCAGTTTTTAATAACACATCATATTAAAAGATATCTATTATGTCTGGAGTATGCATTTATACACAAATCATTGAGTCTGTAGCATTGTAGCATACTGTATAAATACACAGAAATAAGTTCAATCGTGATAATGTAGTTTGAATTCCTCCATTCTGGAATATATCTATATATTGGCTGGCTCTTACAAAAGAAAACAACATTAATGCATGCCAAGATTTCTTTATCTTTTTTTTACCTTGACAAGTTTTAAACGTCAAAGTTAGAAAATATACATGAAACCTGTAACAGGTACGAACGAAATAACTGCAATATTTCATAAGTGACATTATTGCACTGCTGTAGAAACTCTGTGATGACGGTTGATACAGTAGAGTGTATTTACAAAGACTTCGTCCAAATTCATGCAAAGTTTTGTGTTATTGCCTTGTTGTACTAAACCAAGTACACAAATTAACCATATTGCACGCTGAACCAACTTTGGCACATCTTTGAACGTGGAACGATATTTTTTGGCTTTCTAGTGTTACGATTTACATATAACAGTTACATTGTGGCACAACTTTCAAATATTCTCTTGGATAACATAAGGATAAGATCATTTGGCTGAATCATTCTCATACTAGTAATACGAAACACCTTCCCAACAAGAAATCAGCCAAATACAAAAAAGTCACATGTTCATCCATATCTTCAAAACTGATGCAGCATCTAGCTAGCGTTTTGAATGATCAAATCATAGATTTACATAAGCGTTCCACTAAGATTGTCTGTTTTTTTTACATGTTTGTACCGTGCTGTCCAAACTGTTGACCTAAACTTTCATCTGGATTTCTCTCAGGTAAACTAGCGTCCCACATACTGGCCCAAAATGTTGGGTCAAATCAGAGGACAAATTCTTATAAATATGACAGTTATTATCAGTTTCTTGTATGACAACTTTAGAACAGTAAATACTGGAAAAACAATAAACATATCACGGCAATTGAAGCATAATATTGGTCCGTATACATAGCACCATTCAGTACAAGTGGGAAACCTGGTTGATTCTAGATTCATCTGTCAAAATAGAACTCTCTTCAGTAAGATTCTCTCTCTCTCTACCTCTACTTGTGTTTATTTTTTCTTTTCCCTCTGTGTGTGTGTCGAATGGGTTTGTGTATGCGTGCATGTGCGCGTGCATGTGTGTCTGTCTGCATCTATATAACTTTACTTGTTCGCGTTTCTGCCAGTGTGTTTTGTTTTTTTATAAGCCATTAAATTGAGATACAGATCTGGGTATACAAACACTTGTGCGCATCTGATGTCTGTAGATTTTAGCTTTAGTTAAAAATATCGAAACTCTTCACTGACTGACTGTAAAAGATTTCACCTTATGTTTTGGTTACTTCATTGCCCATGATTATGTACAAAATCACTTTTGAAGCGACAAATTTTCCTAAGGAAACTAACAACTGAAACATACTTTTGAAATTGTAAACTTCCTATATATATTATATATATATATATTATATGGCCTCCTTCGGTCAGTGTTGACCACGGTAAAATCCTAAGCTTCATGATTGTCTATGGCTGAACAAACCTATGCGAGTATGGCAGTCTCTGCCACATAGGGCACATGTGTAAGCTCCATGCTCCGCGACAAAACAAGCACACTGCAAAGTTCAGGATCAGGATATGCTTTACAGTAGCATCTGGCATTGCTGCGGTTCCAAACTCCTCTTACATGTTACCACTCTTACGTCGTGACTCAGTCTGAGTTCGTAAGACATTATGGCTTCTACAGAGTTAAGTGATAAGAAGTGGTTTTAAGTGCCGGCTATGGAAATGTTGTGTGTGCAGTGAGAACACGTGTACTACCATGTGAGGCCACTGGCGGTAGCTCGCTAGGGACAATGTGTTAGTTAAGGAGCTAATAAGGAATGGCCTTTCCGTCAACTACTATATTTTCCAGTGACTGGAATGAAAAGAAACAGGCTATAGGCATCGGTGCCTGCCAGATCTGTTCAATCAAACGTTCCTTTGACAGCGGAACCATCTGGCTCTAAATGGCGTGGATGTCAGCTTACATAAGATCAAAGAAGAACGCAATTATCTCAATGTATTTTTAAGCCTCGTGATGGCCGCATTTCACTGTCCTAACAGTTGGTAGGGACGGACGGCTGCATGATTAAATGATATCAAACGAATTTTTGAGTGCTACGGATGATTTCAACCGGTTTGAAAACTTACAAAGCCAAACATAAAACAACTTCAAAGTTCCACCCTGATGATTCTGTGGTTCATTCGGCGGTTACAGGAACTGATCCGTTATTTAAGCGTTTGGCATAACGTCTGATTGCACGTAAAGGAGGGAGATAATGTTTTTTTCGTTCACAACTGCTGCTGGAAATATCCTTTATATGGCTCCGATCACATGCGGCTTTCTAAAAGCCTGAAGTATATCTCCTATAGCTTTATAAACTCCTACGTCCTTAAACACATACTTTTGTCTGTCATTGACCAAAACAAGCATGATAATATTGCACATATTTATCTGTTTGTCTTTCAGACCATTTCGCTTAACATCTTTGAAGAGTCAAGGATATATTGTTCTAGGAATGTTTAATCTCATCTGAAAATGTCGAAGTGTTCCTTGCTACACGCAAGTCACCTCTTCATGGGGGAAGGTCATAGATACGGGGGAGACAGGAGAGAGAGGGGTGGCGTGTGTAGACTGCCCGTGCCCGTGTGATTTGGACATGGTGCCCCTTCTGGGGTAGCCATAGAGCTCCAAAGCTTCCCCGTTCCCCTTCTGTCCTGTCAATGTCATTCTCAAGTCCCGGAACATACGTCTCAGGGTCATGACGATGGCGTCGTGGAAGGCGATGTAGACCACCGTGTTCAGGACTCCGTGGATGGAAGCCAGTCCTTCCAACACGTACACGACGGATGCGTACGAGTCGATCACCTTCTTAGCCTCGCTGGACACCTCCCGCACCATGGGGACCACGTAGAACGGACCGATGCAGAGGAAATACACGCAGAACATCAGCAGCATCCGGGTCATCTTGCGGCGGGACTTGAGCCGCATGGTACGATGGGAAGTGTTCTTGTGCCCGGGGAACTCTCTGTGGAGGATTTTGAACGCGACGAAGGAGTGGAGAGCGACCTGGGCGAGCACAGGCAGGACGAACCCCAGCAGGGCCATGCTGATGTGGTAGGCCATGGCGGACTCCCCGTTGTCGCTGAACCACCTCACTCCGCACACCGTGCCCGGGCTGTCGGGTAGGGACAGCGTGGTGGCGAAGTGGCCACCCGGAGAGGCCAGGGATAGCGCTGCGGTCCACACGAAGGCCAGCGGCAACAGAGAATGGTTCCGATTCCGCTGCAGCTTCTTGGACTTCGCAATCACTAGGAATCTATTGGGTGGACCAAATTAGAGCTAGGTCAGAAAAGGTTAAAAATCTCTAGAATAATAACATATAAAAAAAACACAATTAAAATGCGCACAACTTGTGCTCTTCAACAAGTACCTACTGAGTGTATGTACAGATTGTATGGTTGTCTACTTCATATGCCTATGAAGAAGAATTGTGTGATCTAAAGCTACACATGCGGTTTAATCTGGAAAAAAACTTACCTCTCAAATGCTATGGCCAGTAGGACAAACGAGGTGAGGTTCAAGGCCAGTATCTTGATGAAGTTGACCACGCTGCACAGAGCGGCGCCGTAGTGCCACGACCCCACGTTCGCCACATAGTAGCCGAGTTCGAACGGGGTGCACAGTATGGCCACCACGCTGTTGCAGAGTGCGAGGTTCCCTATCAGCGTGTCCACCGTGGTTCTCAGCCTCATGTAGCGGAAGATGGCCGCCGCCAGGACCAGGTTACCCAGTCCGCACACCAGGATGAACACGGAGTAGACCATGCCGAGCGCGACCACGGCGATGTCTGGGGCCTGGGAGGTGATCCCCATGTTGGCGTCAATGTCCTGGTACCAGTCCACGTCACTGACATTGCTGCCGTTGAACATATGGAGGATTGCCTCGGTAACGTCCACGGGTCCGCCCTGGACGGGCCCAGACATGGTAACTCGTGGGAGCCAGAGTTCGGCTGAGTCACCGCTTCCGTCTTGTACGACGGTACTCATGGTCTCAGGTAATAAATGTCACATTTTCAGGACGACACTGTTTGAAGTCCGCTAATCGTGATGACGTACCGGAACTCTGTGATGGCGATTACATGCTCAGTGAGCTTCCGATCCGGCTGTTGACCATTTCCGGCAAGGTAAAAGGTACCATTGTCACTTCCCGTGCTCTCCGGTCGCTAACATATCTGAAAAACATAAATGTTGTATGCGTTATGAACGAATAACAGCTGAATCAGATATATTCTTGTCATCAAAACTGGTTTCTTGTGAAATTCACAAGATTAAGCGTTCGGGTCTAGGCCTGAAAAACAAGCGAGCATTGTAACGTTCTTAAACTTGTCTTTCCAAAACCACATACCATCTTTTTAGTGCAGCGTTATTTCCAACAGACTAATGTTAGCTGAAACCTTCACAGCCATCCCGTTATGAAACGGACTGACCGGCGCACTAGGTTATAGGGGAGCTAGTTCCTTGATGGAAAATCAAGCACTTTTCCAAACTCATATGTCACGTACTCCAAACTATTTGGAAGGCAAAGCACTATTGAATGTCATCAGCGATGCTACAACCATCGTATATACCCCACTTCATTTTTGATTACCTTTGACTAAGAGAACTTGGAATTGGAAATGAAGCACTTGTGAGTTTGGTAAGTCCGCCAACTGCCTCAAAGTCAAGAAGGACACTCCAAATCCTCGAGTTTGCATCTATGTTCATCTATTTACGTCACATGGACCGATGCGTGGTCGTAAATTCTAATATATTTTGCTTGTAAGCGTTATTTAGAGGGACTTTGTTTATTTTTAATATCAGTGAATTTTGCATTATAGCTGCCAAAGACCGTTGGCTAATAGTACATACATGGTCGCTACAGGTGGCGGGCGTCAAAAAACGATACAGGAAGCTCATGTAAGCTTACACACATTCAAACAGAAAAATAGAAGCTAGTACATAATTGTCTCAGAAAACGTGTCCAAACCATGATTCCACATGCATGCTCCACTATAGAAAACTACCCGGTTTTTCACGGAATAAAACAGGAATTATTGCATATTGTCCTCATTGTAGGAGCAAACAGATGGGCGTAATGTAACCGATTCAGAAGAAGTTGCAAGCCAGGGGTAAAGATGCTTACGTAAAGCTGATTAAGACGTACACAAGTCAACAGACGCGCCGAACTCTCAGAGTTTTGCCACCCATTGACGCCTCTTTCAATAAATCTCATGCTTTCAAATTACCACTGCACCTCCCCGCGATTAAAACGTCTGCTACCTTATGATCTGTCCTATTAAAGTAATACATGCCGACTTTTTCTGAGAACGTGTTGACGAATTCTTGCTAGCGACAACATAGTACTAAATACGGGTGCTCGAACCGTGCTCTGTAGCACGATAAGTACAAGCTCTTGATTCATACAGATTTTTAAGCAATCTTCGTCGATATCTGCTTTAGAACGTCTTTGAATGAAGACCTGTGCGTCTTATAATTAGGCGCCGTGACATATTGTTAGGGATGATGGTCTCTGCATAAGCTCAACAAAACCCTGCTTGCCTTTCGGCTATGATTAAAGTTATGCAACATGAAATCCTTTGAACATTGCAGTTGGTTTCCTTACTCTAAACTCAATGGTTGTAATGCTTGCTTTTTTACTATCTACTTAAAAATTCAAACTAATGTTACAGGACAGCTTTTAAAAACGAACTTGAAAAAATGGATATGTGGTGAAGTTATGAGTACAGGAGACGTAGTATGGCTACAGTAATCCTGGGTATTAAGATAGTGCCTCAGCATATATTGTGTGTTATTGAAAGTCAAAAAGGCATGACGGCCTTGGCTTTTACCGCCGCCATTTCAGAGTAATCATTTCACACCACACCGCAGCCCGGGAGTTACTGGTATTATGGACTTGCCAGGGAGAAATACAGAAAAGTATACGTGACTGGAAAATTCAAGGCATGCTATGCCAGGCCATACGGTTAATACTACGGCATTTACGATTCTAATGGTTGCATTCGCATCAACTTTTAACAATCTGAGCACCTGCACTATGCCCACTATATACTGCCATTATGTATCAGCATAACAACCTATAAGCTTAGAGGTTTGCCTTATGACTGTCGACTCTTTAGGTAACTCTCTAACCTGTGGTATGCCCGGTCATACGGAACTAGCAAAGGGCAGGTCATGTTCACGTTCATTCCACAAACAAACGCCCACATCTGACCTTTTCTCCGTCAATGCTGCGTTTGAAGTTGCCAACATAAATGCTAAGAAGCGGAATACGGTTGATTCGGCAAATGCCATCAAAGCAGTCTAGCGAAGCTCTTTAATTGCTGTAGTGAGGTACACATCCACATCTGACCTGCAACCAAATATATTTTATTGCATACGTTCCTAAAAAAAAATTTTTTTGGACGATGATAAATTCAACTCCACGCATGATAATGAAGAAGACGCGATAGGTCAAGGTAACGCCAGGTTGGTTTGAGTATTTCCTTAATAAACAAGCAAAAACACAATCTTAGGTGCGCGTTGATGGGCCATATCTGACAAGCTTAAATTTTGAACACGAATGCAGTATTTTTTCCTGGGCAAAAATACAAGAATAACGATATTTTCAATTTTTTCAATATTTTCAATGTTTTCGATCCCTCAACAATTATGCATCTGATATATTTGACCAGTTTGTCTTAGGTTTCTCTAGCTAGGGTCATGTGCCCGCAGCGTGGTGCCATCTGGAAAGATCCCGAAACTAATAAACGTAATCGGATATTTTCAGAACCAACCTTCAAAGGTGCTGCCGTAAACCTTTCAAGAATCTCATTCCGTGAACATTGCCTTCACCCTTCTGTTTTGGTCCGCCACCGATGCTAACGTGGTCACACACAGCTCTTAATTGCATGCTAGTGCAGAAGTGGCAGGCATACTGGGGGACGCTAAAATTGACAATTCCAACAGGCCCAATTATGTCAGGGTAGCCACTGGAAAGGCTGCGGGTTCTATTATCAGAAATCAAACAGCTGAAGCAATCAGTTTACACTTTAAATTGTTTTTAGAGAAAAAAAGTTTCTACTGATGGCGTTAGGCTCTGGCAACAACAGAACTCCACCTAGCTGTATATGAGCGTTACGTTAAAGTGCCATTCGTATGTTAGCAATAGCACAACAGACATTGGTGATAATCAGGACAGAAAGCGGTACGTAGGTACTAACCAGCTACTGCCGAACTGTGCGCCTGCAAAACTGGTGCATGTGTTACTAGTACGCCGGTGGCCGGTTTATACCGGTGATACCGGCAATAAGAACCTTAAGACGCCATGAGCTCTTGTGGCTAAAAGTGCGCGTCACAGCTAAAACGAAAATTCACCTGTTTTGCAATACCCCTCCTTATGCACCATATGTTTGTAGCCGATGGAAGACACGATTTTTTAAATCCTACAGCTGCCGTGGTATTACGATACTTCTTAAGCACTGATTATTGCCCTGTTACATAACATATTTTACCGTGCTCCAGAGCTCAATAACAGCCAGATACAGGTTCTGGGCAAAACTAAACAGCAACTATGTATTCAGCACCATGGACTACACCGTTAATAATTTTTCAGCACTTCAATATCAGGAGCTCTTCCAGTGTAATATGGTGTTATTATACGCTACTGTAGAAGCTTCATCATGAAGTGATTTGTAATTCATTTGCGTTTTATTATCTGGTTTGACACAACTTTGTGTCAATTAGCCCTCACCTTCACGCCGGGGAGCACGCAGCTAGTCAAAACATTTGACGGGCAATTAAGAAACCAAGACAGTGATGACAAGCGCGTTACGAGGCTAGCTGATCACACATAGAATGAGACGCTCCGGGTATCCGGTAGCCGGGTGTGTGCGCAGAATACAACGTTAACTCCCCGGTAATAACAACAACTCCCAGGTGGCTGTCTGATGTCTGAGGACGACGTCTGTAACATGCATCAATTAGCCCGTATGAGAAACATATCAATTCCCCTGACAAACACTGTCTCGATCTTATCTTAAACTAGTTTGTCAAGGGTACCAGCCAGTACACAGTGTGCAATTTCATCAAGATACAAGATATGACACTGAAACTTCCAACCGACGTACTTGGCCTCATGGTGTAACACGCGTGCAGTTGCTCCGTATTTTCACAGTGTTCAAGTACAAACTCAAGCACAACCACAAGTATCCCCACTCCTAACGATAAGTGTGGTAGCTTCGCTAACGTGATCGAGGTGTGGCTCTCCGGTTGGATCGACAACGAAAGGTTCCCTCCGAAGGGCTTCCCACCAGTTCTTAGAACTCCAGCGGCTAGGACGGCAATGGAGCCAACGACCTGGTTGTTCAGATGCAGGATTACCAACCGCAATCCACCTCATCAATCCACGGCATATATCATCTATATGATACGTGCATTGAGCATGAGGTTATAAACAGCAGATGCCTTCTGTTTATCTACAAAAACGGTCCAAACAGAAACAAACCCATTCAATCATCAAAGAAGCAACGACTACCGACGTGTAATGCTGAGGTAACAATTCCCACACGGGGCCCGGCCGGGCAGCTCTTGGGAACGAAAAGTACGATATAAAAGTTAACAAAGCACAGATAGATTTTAATAACAATAATGGGCACCATTTCTGTATATTCTTGATATGAATTGTTAATTTTTTGTTCATACAAACAGTCCGACCGTGCCCCGGTTTGGAAATGTGACCTGAGCATAAAGCAATAAAATCTAGCACAAAGGAATACGTTGAAACTCTTTTTGCAGAGATTAACATGACTGGGCAAGATTTTGATGTCCAACTTCAACCGTTTGTATGGACAGAGCTCCCATTAAAGTCTCTCGCCAGTAATCTGTGTCTCAGCATCTTTCTGCCGGTGTGTTTGTACCACTGCATATTAATGTGTTATCAGTAATACTCTATATTCGTGTGACACGCAGACATCCACTAGGAGAATATCCTATCGGCAAGGACACAGAAGACACTACCTAAATTGGCGAGACCTAGAATTGTGGTCTTTGTGAACGATAATCACACCTTAGCGCTACAAAGCCTTCTGGTGCGAGGCTTACACTTCAAGAAAAGGTGCAGGCAATTAGGTATTTATCCAGAGTAAGCAACGTATCCATAGGCTTTAGCATCGGCAGACGTTTGTAGTTTTTTATAACACCCTTTGCCCTTCTGCATGACCTCCATTAAAACCCATTAGTAGTTACATGTACATCTGGCCGTGGGCTTACCAGGTATTGAAACTGAGAAAGATGAAGCTTCCGAACGCTTGCTCTTAAAGTGTACGTGGTTCCTGAAAGCTCTTATTATCCGCGACAAATATCGTATGTTTCGCAGCATATAGATAATGCTCTTCGGGTTTGCTTTTACCGTGGAATACCTTGCATTATACAATAATCAAGGGATACAGAGTGCGATAAGATCGCCCCAAACCGTTGAGCCAGCGCTTGTAAGTGTCTGATGGAGAGGAATCTGACTCAGCTGCTGCAGCTAATGCAAGGTCATGACCAGCAGACACTCCAGCCTGTCCAATTCTGCTACTTGTCTGAGACGAAAACATGCCATTCACCCCTTTAGGGCTTGTAGAATTTTATTTCTACTAGTGATGTCGATTAAATTAAATACAAACATGGTTTATTTGAATGATTATGTAAATTGTTCATCCTCATGCTCAAGAGATGCATAAAAAGGCTTTATCAAAAACAAACTATATACTAAATCTTCACATTCCCAGATTCTTTTTAAACAAATTTTGAACTGTGTGGAAAAATTAATTTTGTTTCTATGTAGCCCTGAGTCTCGGAAATAGGTTCTTGTGCACCCCAATGTCGTTTTGTTAACTGACGTACGCTCAAGATACAACGCCCAACAATTTATCTAAGCAGACCTTTACATAATATATAGAAATGGTAACTTGTGAGTTGGAATGGTAGCTGTCAAGTCTCATTCTCTTCACCATGTTGTTGACTGAACCGCCAGAGCAAAAGTGCGCAAGTTGGTGACCTGACATGATTAGACTGGCGTGTCCGATCCATCGAAAAACGTCCTGCCTCGCACGTATTCACCATAGAAAAGTACAAGGGCGAATGCATAAGTCTATTTCACTGCCGCAGGCGAAAACGGTGGCCTCGATTGACATGCCATTATGTCTTGCTCTTTGCTTGAACCACGCTACTAGTCAACACCATCGCAACGGAAGGAATACGGCTTTTAAAAATGGGTAGAAAAGGCTATCTACGAACTCTTCTCTGTACCTCCTTTCCAGTTTATTTAAGCTGTGAGTGCCATGTTACAACAAGATAAACGCTGAACACTAAAAGTCAAAAGCTACATATGCCAGTTTCGAGCCAAGGGAATTATTCCACCATCGTGCCTGTACCTTATCTACTTAGTAAGACAAGCAAAAATGCGAGAGAAGGCGTGGGACAATCTTCCTGCTCAACCCAATTGTCGCCCACAACGTTAAAAGATAGTTTTTATGGTTGAAAACATCCATAAAAATGTTTTACTGAAATGCTAGCAGCTTCTAAAATGTAAAGGTCAACACATTGAATTATAGGTACTAGAAGCCCAAAATGCTGATGGGTGGCAAAATTACTCGCCGCGAAAATGGCTTAGCTTGGCTGGCTCCCACAGTTAGCAACACGTCAAAATAACATTATCCCAGGTTGCGGGACATTTCAGGTTAAAAATGTGCTTGACCGCAGTTTATGGAGAGCTTACCCATCAGTTTTCGGTGCCATTCAAAACATCGCTCCCCCGGTCTCCTCAATTCTATGATTGACGTGCGCAGTAAAACTATATTTACTGGCTGGCTGAGTAGCAAACGCAGCCGTAATATACCTCAATTCCACTGTACATATCGCACGGCACGGAATTTACTATTGAGACTGTATAGGCCAGGTGACATCGCTCCCCCGGTCTGCTCAATCCAATGATTGACATACACAGTAAAACTACATTTAATGCTTGGGTGGGTAACAAACGCAGCCGCAACATGCTCCTAAATCTACTGTATACATCGCACGCGGCGTAGAATTTACTGTCAAGATAACATGGCCCAAGTGACACCGCTTGCCATATCTACTCAATCCAATGATTTATTTACAAGCACAGTAAACTACATTTGGCTGGGGTGCACCGGTACAAGCGCAGCCGCAACATGCTTCTAAATTTACTGCACATATCGCCTGTTGCAGAACATCCTGCGCGACTATAGACCAGACGACACTGTTGTAGACATTCATACTTGTAATTTATATACTTTTCAATGACGGTTGAGCGGGATCATCCTTTCATTGCTGGGTTTGACAAACGAGGCACAGTCAGTTGGACATGTACCGAAAGAAGGGTCATAAAATTAAGGGGGAAAGTCACACCGGGTTGCGGTATCGTACATGTTCAGGCTTCTTTTTTTTTCAGCCACAGCCTCTAGTTGCAAGCGGGTGTTTCCCCGGATAAGTGTGCGTGGGCTTCTCTACAAACCTCACTTAAGTATCTTAACCCACCGATGCTGGCCGCAAATATTGCATCCAAGTTCCACAGAAAATGACACGCAAAACACTTGTGAGTGACAATGCCGCCAGAAAAACTATGGTTTCATCCTGGCGCCTAATGCGAAAAAATGCAGATACCGCTATGTATACACATATGTGCATACACAAGCATACAATTATCTTACTGTGTTCGGGGAATCTTACACAATTTACCTCATGCAGTGATGCAGCAGATGCGTGAGCTAGATTAATAATAAACTATTGCAATTACGACCCTATAATCACAATTCACATTACGAGTACCAGATGATTACTCAGCATTCTATGAATGATTTCTTATGCAAAACACCGTTTTTTTGCAATATATACATTTTCTATCCACAGGCTGTAAGATTCTTTTGCTCACAGTTGCAAACAATTCAAAATCCAACAAGTATTTTTATCGCATCGCAGTCAAATGACGGGGACGCCTTACCTTGCAAACGCAGTGCAGGGACGAGCAGCAGCTCCTTCTGCACGATGCCTCATCGCCGCTGACGTTCTTCAAAGAAATGAGGCAGTGCTGCATGCAGCTGTCAGCTTACTGCGCCCACAGACTCCCGCTACGTGACCAATTCTGCAAACCCGGCCAGTTCAAACTATAGCGTCTCCTGAGGATATCTCGTCATTGGCGGAGCTACTGTGTGCAATGGCGCTGCAGCAGCCAATCCTGATGGTGCCGCCTTGCCTTGCTGTTCTTTGTGTACGCTGCATAAGCACAGTTAAGGCAATTAGATTCAGTCAGAACCGACCGTTTCAAGGACAAGTCTACGCATGCAAGCATTCTTATTGGAGAAGAGAGCCGTGGAGGCCAAAGCATACGAAAGAGAGCTCGAGTAGATAACGCACAGAGTGAACCTTTGTGGAAGCTTGCTTGCGGCGTCGAATCGTTGGCTTTGTTGACACGTTTGCGTCCACGCGAGTTCTCTCCAGAGATTATGCGGGGACACTCAGACGACGATAACACTTTTGACTTTGTTTGAGTTTAAGAGGTCGACCTGCCGGCATGTTTGTTTTATGTTGAACAAAGGTACTCTCGTTTCCATAGAATTAGTTACAGACGATTGGATCTCTATGCCAGGTTATTCCTTCGTGACAGAACATGCTGCAAGTCTCGTCCTACGTTCTGCGAGCAAAATGGCCTATCATCGGCATCACTGAACAAAAATATGATCTAAATGCAATAAAAATCTTTTTTAGTAACATACAGCTTATTATAGCGACCATTGTGTATGAGATATGCAATAGATAAGATATGCACTATCAGATAAAGTGATCGAACACTGAAGTTTTCCAGGTCTATCGAGGAGGCGTATACTTTGGTGGGCATAGTTAGGGCAGTGAAGTATGTAATTATATAATGAGGAATGCTTTCGCATCGGCACCCACAGCTACAGGATAAGCATGGACAGATTGTGGTTTAAGCTGCAGGTGTCGATGCGGAGGCGAGAAAGAATGGCATAGGTATACCTTAATCCCGAGTTAAAGTATGTTTCAACAGCAAACAGCAGTCTTGCCCCCAAGTCGACTCCATGCCTTGATCACACACTTTGATTCGGCTATATACTAGTACTCGTAACGATGTGAGCAACTAACCAGCATAGTGTGGGTGATGATGGTATCTTCTAGTTAGGGTTAATGTTATGGTTAGCTGCGATCAACTAACTAGTATAGAGTGGGAGTGATAATGGTATCATGCGGTTAGGGCTAGCAGCGAACGTAAGCAACATAAAGTGTGGTGGTGACGGTATTAGGACCGGAGGGTTAGGCTTAGAATGGACTTACCAACTGCTAAGTACCTAATACCAGCCCAGAAGAGAACAAGAAATAGCCATACCAGAGTTATCAACCAAGGCTTGGGGTGTTCAAAAACTCATTCTTTCCTAGAAGTATCACAGAGTGGAACTCGCTGTTACCAAGTACAGTAGGGGCATTATCATTAGATAGCTTTAAACAATGTTTAGACTGAGTTAGATGTTTAAGGGTTAGGTGTAACAAGTCGATCGGTGTAATGTAGCCAGATGCCGCCGCGCCGCGTGCCTGCGAAGCTGGTGTGTTAAGCCGAGGGGCGGTTACACCGGCTATATTGATACAGATACAGATAAGGTTAGAGTAAGCAGCGAAAAACTAACCAGTATAGAGTGTTGATGGTGACTGCGGGGTTGGGGTAAGGTTAACAGTGAGAAAACTTAGTGATAAAGTGCAGGGAATGACAGGTGAGTCAGCATGGTGTGGAGGCAGGAAAACAGGCTAAAGTACGCATTGTACGCATCCACATTTATAAGAATTAACAGTATTTTTCAGAAATAATTTTGCCTTTTGCATTAAGGTCGTTGTGTGGACAATTTGCAATTATACAGGAGTGGAGTTTCAATATAGATGCTTCATGATTAACATGGAAGACAATTGACAATTGACTAATTTGCAGAGAGTTGAGCACCAGAGTGTATCAGCGAGGATATCTAAACAAAGTACAAACTAAAGCGTTAACCCTATTCATACCCTGGATATTTTGGGACGGGGAAGGGGCTTTTGAGGCCCACTCCCTATAGCTTCTAGACTAATGATACGATGACCAACAACTTTTCAGAGAATGATGTAGTAGTAAATTTAAATCATTAGGAAGACCATCGTGGCATTATGATGTATTACGAATACAAATGACGTCATTATGACGTCATTAGGTGTGATTGACTGTAACCGTCTGAGTAAGCTATTCCCGTAAAGCAACAAGTTACATAAAAACAACAGAACTGTCTGATAGAATGTCGATATGCCCATGGCAAGAACGTAGATATGGCGTCATAAAATGACGTCATATTTAACAAGAACTAATTAAATCTATATTTAAATTAAGACCTTTCATTATCTGGTTGCGGTATACACAAAACGTGCCTTAGGTTATATTGTGTATCCAGAATTGATTAGATTAATGAAAAGGTTTCTATCGCCCACACCTGTCCAAGTAGACTACGCAAGTAATACTGGATACTACAGTAGTTAGAATACGGAGATGTGCCGTTACTGACAGTGACAGCTAACGCCCGCTATGCCGTCTTTACAGACAGGTATGAAGAGACAACGCACAGCGGTAGCCTCCGAAGCAAGACAACTTGGTGAGCGTCTCTGTTGGCATGTTACATGAAGATTCTTTGAAAGGCATGCGATACGAGGTGATAGACCTCTTATATTTTTAGGCATGCGAGGGCAAAGACCTCTAAAGTTTTAGTCTTTTCTATGTTAATATACGTTATACGTATTTTTTTATGTTTACTTGAGTTTATATCTTTAAAAACACACATTCTCAGGGCACTCAAACCTCTGAAGTGCCCATTTGGTCCAAAATAAGAAAATTCTATAAGCTGGAAACTCACGTGAATACAACAGTCAACACTAACAGGCACTTGTAAGTGACCTCTGACCCGCCTGGACAGCTGATGGCCGCATGGAAACTTGTATTTCAACAAAATATATACTCTACAGCCCATACCTATAACATCCATCTCCAAACAAAACAAACCGCCCAGGATGCAATGGCGAAATAAAATTAAGTTATTGCCCATCACAGTGTACCTGACATGAACTATCGCTGCTGAAACATTGACAATAACAACTATAAAAAAACAGGATAGTACCTGAGATGAACTCTACTGCAAAGAGTGTGGATCTGCTCCAGGGTGCGTCAGCAAAGGCCATTGGCCATTATGAACCTAAAATTGAAGCCTCACAGCAGAAAGATTGACAATAACGACAACAACAAAAAACACATTACACAGTCATTAGTACCCGAAATTAGCTCTACTATAAAGAGTGTGGATCCGCCGCAGGGTGCGTCGACGAAAGCCACTGCATTGTTCCTCACTATGAACCTAACTTGATGTCTTGCAGCAAACAGATTGACAATAATAGAAAAAAATCAAGTTACCTGAAATGCACTCAGTAACTGACATGAACTGACAAGACTCTGTGAACGCTCCACGGTCAGCTAGTGAACGCCATTCATCCTCACAGCTTTAACTTTGCATTTGCTTACCTGAAACAAGCTGTGCATTTTTGACATACGTGAACTGTTACCAGCGTTATAATGATAGGATTTTGATCGCTTGTTTCAATCAAATTATCGACCAAGAAGCTATTAGAGTTTTGTTAATATTGCCTCAGACAAGATGTCGAGTATTTCAAACAATGCAATGTCTTAATTCTTCTATTCAGACAAACGCTGACAGCAGTAATCTTCTGGAATACCAGTAACCGAGCCGTTACACAACACGAGGTTCTATTCTAAGGCCACAAGGCAAGGGAAGGGAACACTTTCTTCAAGGACTCCCGGCCTAGTTTTAGGACACAACATGACGACAACCTCCGCCACCCACCTCAGTGCAGAACGAAAACTAGAGTTCCACGATGTCACATCTTCGCCAGACGATGTTATCCGAAATCTAATCATTTCCAGGTGCCAATTGTGTCATTACGATCGATGCACGACTTCTAGTGTTATATGCTGCACGCAGACAGACACACCAACAGACGCATGCACCCGAAAACATAACCTTCTTGGCGAAGATAACTGTAACTCCCTGCAATACCAGCGGAATGAAAAAAGGAAGATAACATTTAATTCCAAATAAATGCAGAATGTTTCGCCATCTATCTGAAATAAATCTATTAAAAAGTTACGCAAAGTTTCACAGCGTCTACCCAGGTACCAAACATAATCGCAATCCAGCCAGCGGTTCTTAAAGATCATTGACATGAGAAAAGACCATATATTTAAAAAATTCCTGCTGCAATACCAAGGTCAATCACCCCACCTACTGACCTGCTAAAAGCCGTCGCAGCCCGTTCGATCATCCAGGCCAAAAACAGTACCTCCGTTTTTCATGGAGGTAATTAGCCACGTAGCTAGTATTTCAAAGTGACTTCTTCTGTAGTACGGATATTTGATGCAACAATATCGCGAGGGTAGTGAAACTGAATAGGACACACATTAATTATTTGTGTATTGATCTGCCTTGCAATGTTTAAAGTCGTCAATGTTTGACTTGTTAGATATCACGTCGGGTGATACCAATGTTTCTTTCTTCACGATGCAGGGTAATGTTTCCCAATGCACAATCAACGTGTCAACCATCGCACATTGCCGTAGTCTTTTGTTGGAAATGTCAGCATAACCGTCAACATTAATGTTTACAATTACGTTGGAAATGTAATGATGGTGTGGTAGCAAAAAAAAAGAAAGAAAGAGAGGGAGGGAGAAAGAAAGAAAGAAAGTACCGGTGTTTGTAGGGGTTTTGCGGTCTACTTTTGAGTATGCGCCTGTATCTAGGCCTAACAGCACAACAGACAGCCAAGTAAGACAAAACCGGTTCAAACCAGAGCCAGTAGAATCATAATGGACCGTATACGTACATGTGCATAACAATACCAACCTACATGTTCAGCTGTTGACACGTGCTTTTCTTTGAAAAAAGATGCGACACTCCTTTAAGAGGACTCCTCACGTGGCATGTAATCACCACTTGATCAACTACAAGAGGTAGTCACAAGTTCGTCTTGTTTATAGAATTCGAATAGCTCTGGAAGGGCGCCGAATGTTGTAATGTTCAGATAGAACAGTTTAGAGGAAAGACGAGATAGATATGGAAACTATTCAAACAAAATTTTCCAACTATCAAAGCACTTCTATCAATGATATTACGGAGTAATGACTTATGTGAGTGAGAGACTTATTTTTTGCCAGGCTCCAGAGGCGGCTGGAAAGAGTAGAAATATGTAGTCCAAATAGACAGATAATATGCCAGGAGATTCATTTCCCTTAAGGAGTACAGTTTGTCGGATTAACTCCCCTGGCATGTTATCTGTCTATTTGGTCAAGGTCTACTCTTCCGGCCGCCTCTGAAGCCTGGTAGAGGCTACATAACAAGACCAATCTAGCTAGAGTTTGCCAACCGTTTTCTAAATTCTAACAGACTAGAACTTAGAAAACCTGAGATCCATAGAAGACTAAAAAGAGACAGATTATTGTAGTACTTCTTCCAAAATGTGTCAACTTGGCAAGCCAGCTTGACTATTGGCAAGCCAGCTTGTATGACTATGTATTATTTGACTACATTTTAATGAAGATATTTCATTTCGTGAATCGGTATAATGTGCGTCATAATTATTTTTTTGGGGGGGACAGATCCACATCCCAGGTTCGTTTTTTTGCTGATTGCACTTGAAGAGTTGGAGATCAGGTGGTTCTCCCTGTGTCACTGAACTCTGCATCAGAAGTTTCTACTGCCTGGAGAGTTTCAATTTAGTCCGCTACTTGATTGAACCGGTGGACGTGACTGCTGTCTTTGCTATTGTGTTCGCCGAACGGTTGATGCCCTCAAGATACCAACCACGGATATGCGTAGGTGGGATTCTAGAACTTTCTTCTGGTAAAGATTCTTACCCGCTGTAATGCCTTTCTGATATGAAAACAGAATGTATTCGTCAAATTTCCAGACTTGACGAGCGGTTAAAACTTCCACATAGTATATCAAACTCATAAGAAGCGCTATACAATAATTTCTCATTTCTATCAAGACATCAAAAGATAGATTTTAAGTTAACAGTGCCTTTGAAGCTCAGTCCGAAATTAGTCACAAGAATTCAAACCCTGCCTTCTATATATGTGAGCTTTAACACGTGGACGTGACTGCTGTCTTTGCTATTGTGCTCGCTGCTGAAAGTGGTCGATGCCCTCAAGATACCAACCACGGATGTACTTGGGCGGGATTCCAGAACTTTCTTCTGGTAAAGATTCTTATGCCTTTCTGATATGATTTTATACTCTCCATGCAGGTTTGGCTTACTTTTGGCGTGTTTTAGGCTTTTTACATCTTTTTTACGTCGGCGTAAAAAAGATACCAGTGCAAACAAAGATTTCGATTAAAAAAAAGGCCTAAAAACACGCTAAAATAAGCCGAAAACCAAACCTCTGCTTAGAGAGTAATGATTTGATAACACCAGTAAAACACTTATTTCAATAGAACTGTACGTACATGTATGTTCTGGCACCATTTCTATATATTCCTTTTTTGAGTATTTTGTTACTATTTCCATACATACTACAGCTGTATATCATTTTAGCATTATAATCTCTTGTATGCTACAGAACGTTGTTTGTAACAGAGGCGGCGGCAGGAAATTTTGATTGGGGGGGCAAGATTTCGGACGCCGAAGGCGTCCGTCAGCGAGCGCCGCAGGCGCGAGCCTGCTAGGGGGGTCCGGGGGCATGCCCCCCCCGTAAAATGTTGAATTTCTAACCCCTCTGAAACGCTATTTCCAGCATTTTGAGCCCTAAATTTTTGTTTTATTTCAAGCTAAGTTTAATGCTCCTCCTAGAGTTTCGTCTATGAATTCTTCCATATGAAACAGAACCGAACGGTCATTGTGTGTCATTTAGGGAATAACACCCAGTTTGTGTTCAATTTTTAGATCACCATACAGAAAACTCTTGCTGTCATGTCCAATATTTCAATGGACTGAGTAGGCAGAGGCGGCGGCAGGAAATCTTAACCGTCAGTGGGGGGCGAGATTTGTACGGAACCCACTATCGAGCGCCGAAGGGGGGTCCGGTGGCATGCTGCCCCGGAAAAATA